ACTCAAATTAAGGGTAATATCCTTGGTGATATAACTGATCCCATCTCCGCTAGCAAAGTTTTTAAGCAAGACTGTATCTTTGCCCCATTATTATTCAACTTTTACATTAACAATATTGTTGAGATGTTTGCTAAGCCAGAATTCCATCCTCCCTCCTTGCCCACTGCCCCATGTCTATTCTCCTTTATGCTAATGATGCAGCTGTACCATCTGTAACCCAAATAGGCCTCCAAAGATGCCTTAAAGCTCTATTATTTTACTGCTCTAGAGAACACCCTGAAATAAACTACTCTAAAACAAAAGTATTGGTATTCTCTAGGAAATGTGTTAAGGCCCCAGTCAGATGGATGATCAACAACAAACTGATCAAGCAGGTAAAATCCTTTAAATATCTAGGTCTCTATTTCCAATCTTCTACCTGATGGTCTATTCAAAGAAGAGAGCTTGTTTGGCATCCCTTGCAACTGCTAAGTTTGTAGGTCAATTTGGTAATAATTATGCCTCAGCATCTATTGAACTGTTTAAAGTTTAAGAACTTTAAAGAACAATTTAAAGCCAAAGTTCTGGGTTTGATGCTATATGGTGCTTAGCTGTGTATTTATAAGGACTCTCCTAGATTAGAAGCAATACAATCAAAATTCTTGAAAATCTTACCTAGTTCCTTATTCAACTTCTAAAGGTCTAACATGACTTGAATTAGGCTGCATTTCCTTTGGGGCATGATTAAGACTTTGCCATCTTAGATTCTGGTTGAAATAAGTTTATTGGGGAACTTCCTTAGTCCATCTCACATGCTTGCTAGATAGGTTCTTTTCTAACCTAAGAAGACAATTAATGAAGATTTGGCATACTACAGTCTCATCTTGTCAGCACTACCTGCTTTGGGACTTGATAAACCCTGGCTTGGCTGAACTAAGCAGAGGATTTGGGATCTAGATATCCAAAATGACAGAGTCAAGGTCTCCAATACTTTTTATAGCATAATTGCTCTCCTCCTTGGACTGTCCCTAGATACAGTGGTACCTCGGTTCACAAACTTAATTCTTTCCGCGACTCTGGTCGCGACCCAAATTGGTCGCGACCCGAATCAAATTTTCCCATAAGGTTCAATGTAAATACAGTTAATCCATTCTGACCCCTCCGAATTTGGTTGCGACCCGATTTTGGTTGTGTCCCGAATCAAATTTCCCCATAAGGTTCAATGTAATTACGGCTAATCCGTTCTGAACCAT